GTAGCTGACAGGAGCTTCACGAATCACTCCATCAATGTGCAGCTGTACCTTGTGTTGGGATGGTGATGGCTGAGGTGGTGTCCGACATGTCAACATTGTGGCTGAAATACTGCTGAAAGGCACACAGAAATCACACACATAGAAAATGTTTTAAATAGACATATATGCGTGACAGTGGTGATTGGCTCGTGAACAAATATCTATTTTTCACTCCCATTAATTGGAAAAATGGCTATGATGCTTAAACATTTTCTGACTTTTAGTAGATTTGTAAAGAAAAAAAATTACATTTATTTGATTTAAAACTAGAAATTAAATGTTTAAGTGTTTTTTTTTTTAAATGGAAGAATAAACTTGTATAGATATATAAACCTCTGCAGCACACAGGTAGCATTGCCCACGGTAACCAGTTGCATATTTCCACTATCCAGGAATGAACCCATGATAGTGAGCATCGTTCCGCCGGACTTAGGTCCAAACTCTGGGAAGATCTCTGTGATGACTGGGTTCTAAAACAGATAAAATGTTGTGTTAGTGAAGTAAAACCATATTACGTTAAAAATCTTTGCCAGAAATCACATGCATCATATTTGGATGGATTTATTTATTTTTTGCATCATGCTAGGTAGCCCCAACCAGAGTAGAGATCTCATTGGTCCAAAATCCTGCTCCAAAGTCTACATATCTATATAGTACATATTATACAAACATGCTATTTGGTTGATATTTTGTGACTTTATGGCAGCATTTTGCTTACAGTACCGATAGAAAATGCACTTGATGGCTAGTTAGGACATCGTGTAACTCTAACCCAACTCCAAATAAGTGGGAAAAAATAATAGAATAACATCCTTGGGTCCTTGTGCACTATGAAAACCGCAATACTGGAAGAAAGTCAAAAATACATTAATTGATACTGTGTGTTGAAACACTTGTACAGTGATTTGTGAGGATTCTTACCACAAATGAGAAACCGTCTTTCTGGGCCTGTTCCTTGCCACTG